CTTCTCAGAAGGCCTGGGGACTTCCGAGCCTTTTGAGAAGGGCCGCCCTTTCTCACTTCCACCCTTTGCTCGCCGCATAGCTCGCCATCCCGCCTCACTGTTCGACAGTCCCAGGGCCTGGTGAGGGCCCCCCGAGGCCGAACGTGGCCCTCAAAAATTGCCCGTCGACATTTTGTCGCGACGCGAGGAGGGCGAGGGGCTCCGCCCCCCCCCCCCCCCCCCCCCCCCCCCCCCGCGCCCCTCCGCTCGCGGAGGCCGCCACCGCCGCCTCCCCGGGCATCCTCCGACCTGACTCGCTCCATCCACGGGCCCAGAGCTCCCGACCATTCTCCCGGGGGTGGCCGAGAGGGGTGCGATGACCAGGGCTGGGGGTATGCCATGGCCATGGCCACGATGCCATGAGATCTCCCTGGATGTCATGGCCCCTTCTTCTTCTTCTTCTTCTTCTTCTTCTTCTTCTTCTTTCAGTGCGTCCCCTGGCCCCCCCTCTGGGCCCCACGTGCCTCGGGCCACGATTTGCGCCCCCCCTCTTGGACGCCCCCGATCTTGCCTGGGGGTAGCCTGTCGCCGCGGATCTACTGTGGGGAGCGTTTGGGTAGCGTGTCGCGCCGCCGGTTCTGGCCCTCCACGCTCTGGCGCGACACGCTATCCGCTTCCCGGTCCCCCAGCGTCCACGTGTCCCGAGCCTTCCGGGCCCCCCGCCCCCCGCGGAGCGGAGCGACACGCTATCCGTTCGCAAGGCATTGCGTGTCGCCGGGGCCGCCGCTGCGACACGAGATCCACGAGTTCCCGTTTGTATACGTTTGATGGCCCTGGGGCCCGAAGGCAAGCCCCAGGTAGGGCCCATGATGGGCCCTTTCGAGCCCCAATGGTGCACCTTTCTCCCCCCCTCGATCGTTTCCCCACTGAGCGTTGCCCAACAAGGGGCGGAAATCGATAAGCACCGCTCGGACCGAAGTTGAAGAAATCGTCGGAGATCTGTCGGCGGCGAGCGAGGGGGGAAGTGAGAAGGAGAAGGCCTTCTCAGAAGCCGGCGGGACTCCTCAGAGAAGCCCTCTTGCGCCTTCTAAGAAGTTGTTTGTGTGTTTTCGGTGAAGGCTTAGAGGACTTCTCAGAAGGCCCGGGGACTCACGAGCCTTCTGAGAAGACCCGCTCCTTCCTCCTCCCCCCCTCGCTCCTCCTCCTCCTCCTCCTCCTCCTCCTCCTCCTCCTCATCCTCGTCCTCCTCCTCCTCCTCGTCCTCCTCCTTCATTCACTTCCCCCCCTCGCTCGCCGCCTGATCTGGGCCCCCTGCGCGGCCACCGCCGCCTCGGCCCCAGGCGGGCTCCGCCGAGGTGGCGGGCGCCCACGACGAGGAGATCTTCGCGTTCGCCGGCGCAGCCCCGGACATCCTGTGGAAGGCGGGAGTGCGCTCGATTCGGATTCTGTACCTCATCCTCCTCCTCATCCTCCTCATCCTCCTCCTTATCCTCGTACGCTCGGCTCCTTCTCCTCCCTCCTCCTCCTCCTCCTCCTCCTCCTCCTCCTCCTGCTCCGTCATCTCTCTTGTTTGCCTTCCGTCATCTCTCGTCTCTCGTTGTATGCTTACCGATGCGGCCGTTTCATCTCGAATGCTGGCCTGCTTGATGGCCCCTTTTTCGTGAAGAACGGTGTGATCGCGGGGTGCTCTTTCGCGACTTCGCACATTCGGGTTCGCGCGATGGACGCGTTCGATCGGCTCCCTCATCATAGGCTGCTCGAGTTCGACGCGTATATCGACGACACTGGAGTGTCGAGCACTGTCCGTCACCAGCAAGTCGTCAGCAGCATCGTGTCAACGTCGATCCTCTTGCATCATGTCATCACCACGGACAGGGGTTGTCAGTGGTCTCTTGAGAAGGTCTGCACGGTGGCGTCCAGCAAAATACTGGCTGGCGACATTTCCAGTGCCCTCGGCCTTTTTGGGGGCCGTGTGCTGGACTCCACTGTGAATCTTGGAGTCGACTTTTGCACGGGCCGTTCTGCCAGAGTCGCAGGCAGGAGCTCCAAGATGAAAGCCAGGACGGCTCTCTTGTGGCGGAAGGCTCGCCGCCTCAAGAAGCAGTCCGAGCATGTTGGCCGTTCTGCCCTCAAGATTTTCGCTGCTGGGCCCCTCGCTGGAGGAGCCTACGGCGCGGATAGCCTGGGAGTCAGCGATCAGCAGCTTCTGATGATGAGACGTCAAGCTTTATCTACGGTTGCACCCTTTGCCAAGAGCAGATCTCTCATTGCTGTCAGCATTCTCTCGGACGACCCGTGCTGGAGAGCTGCCTGTGCACCGATCTTAAGATGGAGTAAAGAGATGGATCACGCACACCAGAGTTTTCGACGGGTCTCTTTTTCGTTTGAAGATCTCCGCCCTGCTTGGCACAGTGTGTTTGGCCTCGAGAGGGTCACGTGGCCCACTGTGAAGGGGCCTCTTTCTGCGATGCGCCTCTTTCTGCTCCGCCTGGGTTGGAGGATGACAACCTGCATGACGATTGTTGGCGACAGGGGCTACCAGCTCTCTTTAGGCTTAACCTCGCCCAAGCTTTTAGAAACGCTGTGTCGGGATGCCTACATGAGGAGTTTGGAACGGGACGTGGGTGGTAAATGGGGTGTCGGGAAACGTCTCTGTTTGGACATCCCAAAGCTGCCTGCAGCTCCAAGAAGTTCACCCCTGCCCAGCGTGGTTGGATCCGTGCCTGTTCTAGTTGCGCCATTTGGACAGCAGATCGCGCTTTAAGCGCTGGATATGCAGTCGGCCCTCTGTGCCTGAAGTGCCAGGCTAAGAACTCCATCGCCCACAGGTTGTGGGAATGTCCCGATGACGAAATTGCCGAGTGAAGGGTCCAGCTGGTCCCTCCCTCTGTTGTTGCTGCTGCTCTTGCTGCTCTGACCACTGATGCATCCAGCGAAGATATCTGCTTGTATAGTAGAGGAGCTTTCGCTCACCCCGCCGACTGGCTGCCCAGGCCAGCTCTTGAAGGGACCAACTCCCTGGTGTACACCTGGCATCGCACTGAGCTCATGAGCCCAGGGGGCCCCAAGGCCCCTGCCAATGGAGAGGTGTGGGGGCACCTTTTGCATCGATGGTTCTGCCAGCGCCACCCCGTTCGTGAATTATCACTCGCGACATGGGCTGTCCCAATGAATTCGGATGGTAGGGAGTGCCTTGGAGAGGTCAGGGGCCCTGTGTGGGCCCACTTCCTTCAGACTCCGCAGGCCGCGGGATTCTCGGCTCGCTGTGCGGCTACTCAGTTCATGATTTCCCCAAGTATCGTGTATGCAGACTGCGCCAATGTGGTCCACCAGAGTTGCCTCCCCCATGCCTGCATATACTCAGGGAAGGGAGCCCCTTCTGGAATGAGTTTGCAAGCCAATGCTAACGAGGGCCAGGCTTTAGACGGCATCGTGCAAGTTAAAGCCCACCTCAGCCTCGAGGAGGAAGGCCCCTCAGCTCGTGATCTGTTTCTTCGCAAAGGGTAACTCGGACGCCGACATTGGAGCTAAGCACGGCCTTCAGTTTCACCCGTCTGCCCCTGGTGATATGGAAGTAGTCACGAAGCTGGTCGATGCCGCCAGAGCATATTGTATTCTCGCGGCCAATTTGATTCCGCTCTGGCTCAAATGATCCCCCGATGTGCCATGCACCCCACCTGTGCGCTCTTCCTCTTCGCTGTCCTCCCCCCCCCCGTGCCTCACAGGTGGGAGAGATGGAGTGGCATTTGGAGGTGTGCTGTTTGTCTGCAGGGGCAGAGGAAAGCAGAGACTTGCCGCCCCGCCAGGCTCCTGTGTTAGTTTCTCCAAGCTCCATGCTGCGAGGCAGCAGGAGCTGGGCCACCGTACGGTGGCGTTTAATTGCTCGGATGCGTCAGTTCAGTTCTGTTTATCTGTCTGCGCTGCAAGTGCCATTCGTCAGGCGCCTCGGTCCGAGGCCTAGGAGAGCGGTGCCAGCCACCTTCCCGCGCTGTCAAATATGGATGGGGAGCGCTCGTGAAGGGCATTCATCCGCACTACTCCTAAGCAGAAGCTGGATGTTAAAGTAGATTTAGGCAAGTGTATTGCCTGTTTTGACACTTGTGTGTTTGAGGATGGGTCCGAGCCCTCCGTCCGTGGCGATGAACACGTTCTGGAGTGCGCCTCTCCCTCCGCTCCGTCTGCCACCGCCTCTGGTGTTGCTTCAGCACCTGCCGCCGCGGGCCATGTCCCCCCGCCCCCGTCCCACCTGGCGCCCACTGCAGTCAGGCCCCTCGCGGTTAAAGGGACGGGGGTGTGTACGACGTCGGGGACTCGGCCAGGCGAGAAACGGCAGCTGCGAGAGGTGCGGGAGGCTCCTTTTCGCGGCTGTGAGGAAAAGGAGGGGGCTGTCCTCTCCCTCTTCGGTCCGCCCAGCGTCGCAGCTCGAGAGATGAAGCCCGCCCCATCTCCTAGAGATGTGTTGGCGCACGGGCGGCATGCCCTCGAGTCACAGGAGGATGGAGACACGCGGGCCCCCCTCCTGGACGCGCGCGCTGGAGCCGACCTTTCAGGCGACTAAGACTAACCTCGCCGAAAGGTCAGCCTGTCTGAGTCGCACTCAGATCTGGTAGGTCCCGCACTGCCAGTTGCTTGCACTTTGCGGTGGGCCCGCGGAGGTCAACAAAATCCTCCTCCTCCTCCTGCCCGTCCTCCTGCTCCTCCTCCCCCTCCTCCTCCTCCTGTTCCTCCTCCTCCTCCTGCTGCTGCTCCTCCTCCTCCTCCTCCTCCTCCTCCTCCTCCTCCTCTTCCTCCCCTTCCTCATTTAGACTCAGGCAGGTTCACTTGCATGGCATTTCGCCCGCGCCTTTCCCCCCCCCCGCCGCCGCCGTCCCCTCCGGAGCCTTTTGCGCGCAGCGCTGGGCCAAACGGACGTGCACTGAGTCCATTTTTTTCGGTCCTCGTCCTCCCCCGCCCCCCCCCCTTTCCCCTCCCTCCATGCCAGGAAACTTGCCAGAGTCCAGCGAAAAAACAGCCTTCGGGGCGCCGTGCCCGTCGGGCGAGGTGGAGAGGGGGGGAGGCAGTGCGACAAGAGGTTCTGGGCCATTTGCCCTCGCAGGGCCCCGCCTTTTTTCGTCGCGCAAGAATAGCGGCAGGTGGCGTTTGACCACTCTCGGCCTCCAGGGGCCCTCGCCGGGCCGCGGGACCGTCCGAAAAACGAGCCGGGGCGAAACACAGGCCTTTGGGGGGGTCTTGCCCTCTGGGAGTCGACGCTGCGAGAAAGACGCGACGTCGGAGGTCTGTGGTCTCAGAGGGATATCGGCGGTTGATCGAGCCCCCATCCTACCGAGTCCATTGGCGAATTGCCTTCGGTGCTGGGAAGGGGGCGTTGAGACGGCATGGTTGGAGGGCCTGCGCCCGATGGGTCTGGCCCCTGGTCGCTTTCACACAGGGACGTTTTGTTAAAGGGGGCTTTGTCCACCCTCGAGATGGTGGGCCAATGTTCCACCACCACTAACTACCACAGGTAGGACGGGGCAAAAGGGAGGAAGAGGAGGTCCTCCTCCTCCTCCTCCTCCTCCTCCTCCTCCTCCTCCTCCTCTTGTTGCTGCTGCTGCTCCTCCTCCTCCTCCTCGTGCTGCTGCTCCTCCTCCTCCTCCTCCTCTTCCTTCTCCTCCTCCTCCTCCTCCTCTTCCTCCTCCTCCTCCTCCTCCTCCTCCTCCTCCTCCTCCTCCTCCTCCTCCCTCTTCTAATTACCTATGTTGGTGGTGGTGGTGGAAAATCGGCCCCTCACGAGGAGGAGCCGAGGCGCCAAAAGCGGCGCAACTGCATGCAACATGTGGCAGGTGCGCGCAGGTATCCTGGGAGGGGCCCTGAGCTCACCTGGCGGCGCCTCCCGCACCGTTCCCGGCGCGCTTCCCGCGCTGGTGGAGGAGGAGTGTCAGCGCCATTTCCAGAAATCCACGTGAACCTCCGAGGGCGCATGCTCACGTCGTTTGTTTCGGCCCCCGTTCGTCGCTGGCATGACTGCTCTCGGTTCGGCCCACCTCTCCTGCCTCTTTACCATCTTCGGTCAGGCACAGACGCTCCCTCTCTTGAGGCTGTGAGTCGTAGGAGGGGAGATGGCGGGGACGGGAGAAGTGGAGGCGGGGTGGGACGGGCTGTTCCCGAAAGTTCGGGGAGGGAGGGGTAGAGAGATACAATTATTGTTGTATACATGCATATACACATGTACACATAAACATAGATGTGTCAATCTGTATATACACAGAGAGAGGGGGGAAGGGTACAGAGGGAAACAGCGCGAGCTGTGGAGAAACGCACTTACAAATGGGTTTATGTAATGCTACACATATGCATGTATATATGTGTACATCAGTATGCGTAAGTCAGCATAGACATGACAATCATAATCCTGCTTGTATGTAAACTTATAGTTATGTGTGTGTATGTACAGATAGGAAGTGTGTGTATGGCGCTCGTGCTCTATGTACCCATTATGTTCACAGGTATGGATACAGCAGGAGAACCTCCACACCAAAAGAAACCCAGCGCAACACCAATTAGGCGCTGCCGTTCTGCTAGAGCAGGTCAACACAGCTCTGAGCAAAGCAGAGCGAAGCAATGCGACACATGTGGTAGTGCGTGACATTGCCTCGCTCAATGTGGCAGCAGTGGCATTGCCTTGATGTGTTCCTTGGCATTGCTGCTAATTAATGTTTATGGTCGGCATTGTTTGGCATTGCTTGGCACTGCGTGGCGTTGCTGAGCGTTGTTTGGCGTTGCTTGGCATTCCTTGGCGTTGCTTGGCGTTGCTTGGCGTTGCGTGGCTTTGCGTGGCCTTGCGTGGCCTTGCGTGGCGTTGCTTGGCGTTGCTTGGCATTGCTTGGCATTCCGTGACACTGCTTGGCATTGTTGGGTTTTGCCAGGCATTCCGTAGCATTGTGTGGCAGTTCTCGGCATTGGCTAGCATTGTAGTTCATTGACTTGCATTGCTGGGCATTGCTGGGCATTGGTGTTCTGTGCTCTGCATTGGTTGGTTTCGCTTGGCGTTGCTTGGCGTTGTTTGACATTGTTTGGCCTTGGTTGGCATTGCTTGTCATCGCATTGCATTGCTTGGCGTTGCGTGGCGTTGCTTAGCCTTGCTTCGCAGTGCTTGGCTTTGCGGGGCATTGCCTGGCATTGCTTGGAGGTGCTCGGCTTTGGTTGGCATTGCTTGGTCGGGGAAGGAAGGCAGCAAGCAATCAAGACCGAGGAACCTTTGGAACACCGGCCGCCGCCACTGCAAGGATCCAGGACAAAGGAGCCTGGGCATCGCCGAGCCACGCCAATGCCAGGAACTAAGACCAAGGAACCCGAGCGACGCCTTAGTGGGGAAGCCGAAGTGGGAAAATGGGAAGCAGCGTCACAGGTGCGTGACTGATGACGAGCGTTGTGAGGATCTGGGTTTCTGGCAGGCTTCAGCAGGGAGCAATGCGCAAGCCTTCAGCGCCGTGGCTCGAGATCACTTGCACCATCTTCAAGGGCTACCCTCCCCAGTGTCGCGCACCCCCCCTCCTGCCCCCTCCATCCTTCTGTTGGTGCGCCATTACTTGCTTCGCCTCGTTATCGGCGCTCCCCTCCGCCGCTGGTTTTTTGGGGGCTCCTGCCCGCGTCTCTCCCCCAACCATCGATCCATCCCTGCCTCCTCCCCTCCCACGCTCTCTCCCTCCCTCCCCTGTCCCCGCCCTCCCCCACGCCACGCTCAGGTAGAGGGGCGCCGGCCAGCGGGTGCCGCGGCGTCGTCCTACGCCAAGGCGGGGAGCGACAGGGGGACCCCGGGCGGGAGTGGACAGTGTGGGATGGAGCGGGGGCGGACGCCGAAATAGCAGATCCGGAGGGATGGATGGACGTCCAGGGGTCATCGATGCTCCGTCCGCGCGGTCATGCTGGCGCCATGCAACAAACGTCGTTGGGGTCGAGCATTTCGTGACGTCTTAGAATGGTGGTGTTGCTGCGCCTCCGGCGGCCTCCGAGTCCGCCGGTCGCTCATGCAAGGCTCATGACCGGTTCTTTGAAGGGCGCATCGCTCTCCCGAGGCCTTCGCCAGCAATTCGATCACCGTCGGGGGACTACCGTTTTCTTTGGCGGGCTCACTGCGGCGTCCCGCGATCGGCATGTGGGTCGAGTATTTGCAGCGCCCCTCAGGGAAGGCCCGCAGTGGCAAGGACAGCTGCGCTTCTTCCCAGGGCCAAGGAGGCACCTACCTGCCCGAGGTGGTTTCAGCGAGCGCGGGCCCTTTGGGATCGGCCCGTCTTTCCGCGAACCCCCAGACGCCGCCCGCCCTGCCCAGGGCGGCGGTGCACCCTTTCCCGACGGGCGGGCGCCATAGTCGCTCGCCATCGCCCGCGTGGCACCGCAGGCTGAGGAGGAAGCAGGCCAGCGCGCGGGCCACCCTGCGCCAGGCCGCAGCGCGCCAGGCGCTGGCTGGGCACCACGGCGAGCACTACGTGGCGCAGCCCGTGGCCATGGCGCCGCCCCTTGCTCCAGCTGGTGCCGCTGACGCTGCTGGCCGCAAGGTGCTCCTGGGGCCCAAGGAGCCCCACTGGCGCTGCCCAGGATGCCACCAGGAAGGGCTCTGGGCCAACAGAGTGGTGTGCTTCTGCGGGCGCGACGCCCCAGGCCCTGTGGTGCGCAAGGCCAGGCATGCCCACCAGGAGGCGCTGGCAAAGCGAGGAGCTGGGCCTAGGGCCAAGTCGCAGCCCCGCCCGCCCCCCTGGGCAGGCGGCGGAGGCGATGCGCCTCGGCTCCAGCGCCTCGAGGCTGGTGTGGCCAACATCACCGCGGCGCTGGAGAAGCTCACGGCAGGAGGCAGCAGCGGCGCCGCCGGCCTGCGCGGCGGTCGAGGCGCCCCTGACACAGGTGCTGCAGCCCTCCCAGCCCCAGAGCCGCCTGCGGACCCAGCCATCCATCCAGGAGCTCGAGGGCAAGATCGCCAGTCTGGAGCAGTCCATCCCTACGTTGCGCAAAGGCGGCATCGACGTGGGGAAACTCGAGCAGGACCTGGCGAAGCTCAAGCAGCAGCGGGTTGCAGCGCGAGGGCCGCAGGCGGAGGTCAGCTCGCTGGGGGCCAAGCTTGATCACGCCAAGGCCAAGCGGCTGCAGCTGCAAAGCGAGCTCACCGAGAAGCAGCCGGACGTCACCGAGGCAGAGAAGCTCGTCGAGGAGGCGAAGAAGGCAGTTGCTGACCAGGAGGCGGCGATTGCACAGGCCACCGCCAACATCACCGAGCTCGAGAACAGCCTCAACCAGGCCATGCTGCGGGCCATGCCCTTGGGCCAGCCAGGCCAACCTCCCGAAGCCCAACGTGATGCGGAGCGCTTCTTGGCTATGGCACCTGAAGCAAAGAACCTGGGATCTGATGTTCTGGCCATGGTCGCCAAGCTCCTCACTGCTCACCAAGCACCTCATGTGGACAGCCGCCTCCCAGGGGAAGCCTCCTGACGGTCGGAATAGTGAGAGCGGGGAGAACATCCCGACGCCGATGGACGAGGACCTTGGCGACAAAGACTTTGAAGAGATCTGCAAAGCGTGCAACTCCGAGGACAGCATGAGGGCTCTTGAGGACCTGTGCCAGCGCATGGGAATGCGCAAGCGGCAGCGAGTTTAGCAAATGCAGGAGCGGGTACGACGTCGACGAGGGGACGGACGGCGGCTCGTGTGGGGACGAGAAGCGACATGGTCACCTCAGTTTTGCGACGGCAGATATCACTTCCTGGGTACAGGGCGCAGCATCCCCCCGCTCGTATCCGACAGCATGCTTTTCGTGCAGGAGCACAAGCAGTGTCAGGGGAGACTCTTGGAGATCAGGCGCACGTTAAGGAACGAAGGTTGGGCCATGGCATGCGCTCCAGCCACCATCAAGGTGAAGGACTTTCAGGGCGGCGTGGGCGTGCTGGCCAAAAAGTTCATCGACTTCTGGTACGACCCACAGGACCAGGTCCAATGGCCAGACAGAGCGTGTGTTGGGTACGCTCGTTTGCCAGGGATGGGCGTGGTTGCGCTGCACTCGGTCTACCTCGAGGTCAACTCTGGGCTCAAGGGCCAGAACCTCGACATCTTCTACAAGTTGCGCGAGCACCAGGGCCGCCACGGCCTGCCCTGGGTAATGGGAGGCGATATGAATATGGACCCTGAAGAGCTCGCCAGTGTTGGGGGCTTCCGCGCGCCAGGTATTCAGGTGCACGCGCCGCCAGACCCGACGTGCCACGGCAGCGGAGGGACCCACTGCATCAGGGACTATTTCGTGACAGGAATCCGCGCTGGGTTGGCTATGCAGGTACCCGTCACCAACACCTCGCTTGCGTTGCCCACCCACGACGCGGTCCACATGGGTGTCAGCAAGCGCGCAGAGTGGCCCAACGTAAAGATGCCGCTCAGCACCGCGCACATGCCCACCTCGGTGCCCGTGGGCACCCGCAGGGGGCCGCCCGACTGGACGGCCGCGCAGCGTATGCTCGACGAGACCTACCAGCAGCTTGTGGGCCACAACGGCCAGCAGGAGCTGGCGCCTGCCGACCGCCAGGCGCTGGTCGAGAGGGCCCACGAGGCGTGGCTCGGCACGGCGCGCCAGGACTTCCAAGGCATCGTGGACCGCGACGCCAAGGCCATGCAGCTCTGGGGAGGGGGGGGGGGGGGGCATCCAGTTCAAAGAGGTTACCCTGTCCGAAATATGGACCACCAAGGCCAACGGCAAAACCGCGCCAGGTCGCGCACCCACGCGGCTTTCTGGGCAGCTGCGCCAAGCCCGAGGCCTCCTGCACATCCACATTGAGCGCCAGTCACACCTGGGTGGCGATGATCAGCGAGGACGCCCAGCTCAACGCCCCCGGGGTGCCATCGCACGCTGCCGCGAGTCCGTGCGGGGGTGGAGGTACAATCGCACCAGGACGTGCTGACCGCCCCTCAGACCGAGGGCGAGTGGCGGATCGCCCTCAACTCTTGGGCCGACGAAGCGGCCAAAGAGGCTCTCAACCTGTGGCCCAGGCGGGCCCGAGATGAGGTCGCCCTGGAAGATGCCTGCGCAGAGGCGCGGCGTGGACTGGTGAATCTTGGACGGGTGCTGGCGAGTGGGCCTGCTCCCAAGGTGGAGTGGGCACACCTGCCTCCGCGTGCTAGGCCTCCCACGGCAGTGAGGCCATGTTTTCTGCAACACGAGGTGGCCGAAGGCCGCTGGCGATGCGTCCAGTGCTTGCACGGATTTGGGAGCTGGAAGGCTGGCATGGCTTCAGAATGTGGGCGTGAGGCGCCCAAGAGCTGGAGAAGCCTGCGAGAATTCGCGGGCTCGCACGTTTTCTGGGGTGTGGTGATTGGCCCCAAGGGCTGCCCACCCGATCAGGGTGACTTTTTGATGTACTGTGCCCAGTGTGCACAATATGCGCAGCAGCACCCCGTAGGCCTGGCCAAGACGTGCCCTGCCAGACGGCCAGGGTTTGTCTTGGACAAAATGGGCAGGGAACGAAGAAACCGTTTCGACCGAGGCCTCCACCCGACAACGGGTAGGAAGGAGGTCGTCTTCGAGAGCTGGGCTCTCAAAGATCTTGGTTTCCTCACTCAAGGGAGTGAGCTCGGTGCGTAGTGCACCCCCGCAGCTGGCATGCTCGGCGCCCATCGGAGGAGCGCAAAAAACACCTACCTGCCCGGGCAATCCCTGGCGGCTCCCGCCCAGTTCCGCCGCCACGTTTCTTTTGCACATCCGGCGCATCTTCGCTCCACGGAGTCGTACTGTGGCAGGTCACCTGTAGGACGTGCATGCAAATATTGGCATAGGCATGGTTCTGTAGACCTGCGCGAGCGGTGCACAAGAAACTGATTGTATCGAAGAAGATCGCAGAGTTTATGGACGGGATAGCTCCTGGCATGATTGTGCACTACACGGAGTTTCTCCCTCATTGGGGCCAAACCGTGTTTGTAAGTAGCAGTTGTCCTATTCTCGTGTGGAACATCTGACTTGCATCCTGTGGAGTCTCTCATACGCAGTTTCCCGTTTTCTTTTCAGCATCTTATCTTTATGGTCGGAAGTGTGCCCACACGCAAACAAAGGATGGGAGCACACGCGATCATTATTTTCGGTGCTGCTCTGAAGGTCGCAGTTGTCACTGTCACAACCGCGCCGGCATCTGCACTTGAAGCAGTGATTCGCCGTGCTCAGCACATGTACCGAGAGAGGATTTTTGCAAGCACGTAAAAAGGCCCGCAGCCGGACAGTTCAGATCCAAGCGATGTCGCGACCTTGGTCAGACCCCAGGGAATGGTGAATGAGTTGAGCCACCAACTCTAGGTACGCGTGGGTGTTCGACGTGCAGGCGTGGCAGACCACATATGTGGCAGAGAACGATGTCAACCTACCTTCTCATACGAAGTGGAACCCTGCATAGTACCTTGCGCGTGTGTTACCCGATCGTTTCGCATATCTTACGCGACGGTGACGACTAGAACAGTACAGGGCGATCGGCATATTTGTCCCCCTCCCCCGATCCAGCCGCTGTGCCGAAAGGGCCCCATCGACAGATAGATACGAATCGCTTTCTACTTCAAACATATTCCCTCGTAGTGTTCCGCCTCGGCGCAGAATCTGGCCTTCCCATTTGCCTTCATAACTGGTTTCGCAGGTGTTGCTTACTTCGTGTGTGTGCATCTGCGGTGAGGCCCGTTGGCTTAGCGTGTCGCTCCGCCAGCTCTGGCCCACCACGCGTTCGCGCGATACGCTGTCCAAGCCCCAATCCCATCTCTCAAAGCGTCAACGACGTCCCAAGCTGCTCCCAGCCTCCCGCCCCGCGGAGCGGAGCGACACGCTGCCCGTTCGCAAGCCATGGAATGTCGCCAGGGCCGCCGCCGCGACTCGCGGGGCGAAAGTTCTGACCGTGTCGGTGGTGATGCCTCTGCTTGCCACTGCCACTGCCGTTATCGTTAAGCGTCTGCATTGCGCTGCATCCGGTGAGAAGGAGCAGGGGCCAGAGCGGCTGCGGCCTCGGTTGACGGACCAGCCGCCGCCAGCGTTCGGGCGCTCGGGAGGGAGCGACTGAGGCGTGGAGACACCGGTGGGGAAACCCAGAACTCAGATTGCATGACTTGTTCCATCCGTGCACTTTTTCCAGGTTTTCGGCCCCCAGAGGCCGCCTTCGGGCTCCGGCACCATCCAACATGGACCTGTGGGATAGAGCCATTTCCAGAGGATGGGTCGGGAGCGCTGGGGCCGCAGCTTGAAGAGAACAGATCGAAGGACGCTTGGGAAGGAGGAGGAGGAGGAGGAAGAGGATGAGGAGGAGGAGGGAGGAGGAAGGAGGGAGGAGGGAGGAGGGAGGAGGAAGGAGGAAGGAGGAAGGAGGAAGGAGGAAGGAGGAGGAGAAGGACGAGGAAGGAGGAGGAAGGAGGGAGGAGTCGGAGGAGGAGGAGAAGGAGGAGGAGGAGGAGGAGGAGAGGAAGGCAGCTGAGCTGGTTTGGGCTTTGCCGCGGGCCTGCCCCCGAGCATGCTCTGGAGCTGGCTCTTCAACTGCAGCCGGCGGCGGCGCTGCGGAGGTGTCGGGCAAGGCAGAGTCGCAGTGCTGGCGGCTACGGATTTTCGGGGGCAGCGAAAGGGGGGAATAGGCTTAAGTTGGGCCTGTCCCTCTACAGGAGGAATATTCAAAAACAGTGAAACGAAATAGTCTGGGGACGATGTTTCTATCATTTTGTACTGTTTTGTATTTGTTCGACTACTTGTAATTTTTCAGTCACAATCCGCATGTAGGGGCACATGCCCACCCAGCCTAAAGATAGGCATACGGGCGGGGGGATGCATCGATCCCCAATCGCCCATTGATCGCCGGTAGGGGCCCGATAGCCCCAATTTGCACAGGACGGTGCGGATTCACCATCGGGGGCCGATCGCCGATCTGTCAGCGGTGTATCGCCGATGCCAGGTCGATGCATCCCCCACTATGCCCGTCCCCCCCTGTCGTTGCCCCTCAGATTGGAATACCCACGTCTTGAGGAAGAAAGGTGGCACGGAAGCGCCGTCGGGGGGGAGCAAGGGTGAGCCCAGAACTCCGACGTCGCGTTTCTGGTCACAGTGTGGACCCCCGCAGGTCCCGGGGCCCAGCGAGGGCCCCCACTGGGATGGGCGCAGGGGTTGCTCAGGGGACAGGGGGCTTAACAGTGAATGTCAAAGAGGTCATCTCAGGTCATCTTTGGCCTAGTCTAGCTTATAAGTCGACTACAGGTGGTGTTAGATGACTCAGCTAAGTGGGCGGCGCCCACTTCGCCCGGATCGCTAACCTCTCTGAGCCATTTGGGTTTTTTGTAGCCCATTTGTACGCGCCTAACCTATCTTATAAGTTGGCTACACGTGGTATTAGATAACTCCGCTAAGTTGGCGGCGCCCACTTAGCCCGGATCGCTAACCTCTCTGAACCACTCAGGGTCTTAGTAACCCACTTGTACGCTGGGTTCGGCCAGATGTAGCCCACCTTGGCATCCACTGATGGCGCCCCCTATTCCCTTGCGGGTGAGGGCGGGTGGGGGGCGGTTGCTACGGCAGGTTCGTGTCGTGGCGACCCCAGCGTAGGTTCCCGACACCGCGGGGATCGCTCAACCTTGAAAGATATCGGCCATTTCCGAAACGTCTGATCCTTCAACGTCGACCGATTCTAGGTCGCCGGCGGCGTTCAACGTTGAACGCCGGCGGCGGGGTCGACGCCGGTGGGCACGACGCGTGGAGGCGCCCGTGGCCGTGTCCTGCTACGTGGAGGCGAACCAGAACAGGACGGGAGGGCTCCGTCCGGGGGCAGGCAGGGCGGCACCCCGAGCCACAGTGGCCACGGGCCCTTCCCTCGTCGTGTTTTCGTTGGGCGGACCTCGAGGCCAGGGGGGTGGCGTTCCTCGGGAGAAAAGATCTGAGTGCGTCCCTCCTCCTCCTCCTCCTCCTTCTCCTCGTGATCCTTCTCATCTCCCCCTCCACGATCTTCGAGGGAGTTCGAGGATCGAGGCTCGCTCTCTGGAGGTTTCGGATCGTCCTGGGGCGCCCTCGTGGCCTCGGCTTGATCCGCCTCCAAATTTATAGACAGAACGCACCTTGGGAGAGGTCCAGGGATCGATGTTTGGCCCCGACGTCGGGGCTAAGTCGGTCCTCCTCGTCTTCCTCGTTCTCCTCCTTCGCCTCCTCCTCCTCATCCTCATCCTCATCCTCATCCTCATCCTCATCCTCATCCTCCTCATCATCATCATCATCATCACCATCATCATCATCATCATCATCATCATCATCATCATCATCATCATCATCATCATCATCATCATCATCATCATCATCATCATCATCATCATCATCATCATCATCATCTCCTCCTCGATCCTGGGTGCGAGGCGGGGATTGATACACATCCACCGCCCGGGGCACCGATGTCCTCTGGGGCCCCAAGGGGGGCGGTGGATTTGGAACTGGCCGGGCCCCACGGCCCAGAACTGGTCCGCACCCGCCGCTTGCCGAGGTCCCCGGACACACTCGGCGGCGAGCCACTCGCCGTCCTCCTCGTTGCCTTCGTCGGTCGTCCCTTCACCTTGCAGCTGGGCTCCTCCTCCTCCTCCTCCGCCTCCTCGTCCTTCTCCTCCTCCTCCTCCTCCTCCTCCTCCTCCTCCTCCTCCTTCTCCTCCTCCTCCTCTCGTACGCTCGTCTCCTGCTCCTCCTCCTCCTCCTCCTCCTCCTCCTCCTCCTCCTCCTCCTCCTCCTCCTCCTCCTCCTCCTCCTCCTCCTCCTCCTCCTCTCGGTCTCGCCACCACGCAGGACCGACCCGCCAGGCAACCAGCGGCCTCCGGTGCGCCGCTTCCGGGTGCGGCCAATCCCCAGGCGCGCAGGCCGGCGCTCGAGGAGGCACCCCTGCGGGCCCGCGCCGAGGGTCATTCCAGCGAAGGGCCTGAAGGGTCGCTCTTGCGCATCGACACTCCTCCGCGATGGGCAACATCGGCGGCACGCCCAGGGGAGAAGCGAGGAGGGGCGGGCCTTCTCAGATGGCTCTTAAGCCCCCCGGGCCTTCCTTGGAGGCACCGAAAGAATACCCAGAAGGTGCGAGGGCTTCTGAGAAGCGCTGCCGCCTGCTGAGAAGGCCTTCTCCTTCTCAGTCCCCCCCCCCCCTGCACTCGCCGCCGACATCCACGGGGTGGTGCTGTGCAAATCCCCGCCTCGATGCCTCGATGCCTCGGGGGGCGAGTGGACGGGCGCCCCGCGGAGAGGCCCCCCCTGGGGGGGAGCCGTGTGCGGCCCGCTCTTGGGGGGCGGCTGGCTCTGGCTCCGCTGCGCAGCAGGGCCTCCTTCAGAGGCGGTCTCCTGTCAGGCCCCATGTCGGCGGCGGGCGGGGCGGGGAGAAGTGAGAAGGAGAAGGCCCTCTCAGAGGGCGGCGGGACTTCTGAGAAGCGCCCCAGCCTTCTGAGAAGGGGTCTCTTGTCAGCCCCCAAGTCGGCGGCGAGCGAGGGGGGGTGAGAAGGAGAATGCCCTCTCAGAGGGCGGCGGGGCTTCGCACAAGCGCGCCCCAGCCTTCTGGGAAGTTCTTCCCGCGTCTTCGGGGACGACTCAGCAAAGTGCGCAGAAGGCCAGGGAACGTCCGAGCTTTTTGAGAAGGCCCGCCCCTTCTCGTTTCCCCCCCCCTGGGCTCGCCGCCAAATTTCTTCTCGGGCAAAGTTCTGCCTCCCTCCCTTGGCCCCCTTCGCCAGGCTCGGGGACCGTCGAAAAAAGATTCGGGATGAGACCTAGCCCAGGTGAAGTGGTCGAGATCCTTGGGGGTCGACGAAACAAGCACGCCGTCGGCATTCTGGGGGTTCGCCCGCACACTGCACAGGCTTTGGGCATCTCTTTGGCGGTCACGCCAACATATGGGCCCACTGCGGCGCGGTGGTCGCTCTTCTCCGCTACGGCCGTCTCCCTGCCTCTGCTCTCACCTTGCGGGGGCGGGAGGCAGAAGCGGAGGCCCCGCAGGCAAAGAGGCCAGAGGGCTCGCGGGTGGCATGAGGGATGATTTGCGCCAACCGCTCCCAGCAAGATGAATAATTAAAAGCAACGGCGCTTCCAAATCGGACAAACAAGACGTCAATTTACGCCCAGGCTCGCAGAAGCGTGCTTTTGTGCCTGGAAGATTTGATTTACAGAATGTGAGCCCAGTGTTAGAGAGCATCGAATACCAGACATCCTTACTCGAAGTACAGTGGGGGGCGCGCATCAAGAAACCATCTGCTTGTCGTCAGGGTACCCTGGGTTTCTTCGCTCCTCGCGCTGCGCGGTGACTTCCCTCGGCAGTTGAAGGAGCTGCTGCGTTCAGAGTGCTCCAGGTGTCCCCTCTTGTGCACATCGCGCGCGGGCTTTCAGGGTTGGGTTTCTTGCGAGGGTGTCTTGCGGCCGCGCTCGCACTGTAGTTTATGTTATCGCCAGATGTTTGGCGGCTGAGAGTATCGCCACATGCTCACGAGGGGAAGGGCGTAACAGGGGGGCATCCGCGGCAGGAGGGGCGGGGCAAGGGATGAGGATGCCAGGCTCGGGGAT